GGTTCTGAATCATCAGCTTCGGACTGTACTTGGACCAGAGTAAAATGATCAAACGACAAGGGAGCCCCTATACTTGCCTGGTCAGTCATCAGGCAGCATCTTGAGCACCGCAAACTCATTTCAAATGCTCAGGTGGTAATGATGGCCCTAGGAGGAAACTGGCAATAACATCCCAAATATCCAAAAGCTGGCATCTGTCCTCAGCTCCCTGGAAATTTCCTGGTTCTACAGAGTTTGGAATGCTAACAAGTGACACTGTGTCCAACCTTCCATTGCCATGGCAATTTATGTTTTGCCTACTTCCAAAATGGATTTGAAGGGCTTGTGCTACTTTAATAAAACCCTAACCAAGGTAAGCAACAATGAAAAGGCCAGGACAAAATTCCTAAAGGGGTATGGGGAATGGAAAAAAGGAGTAAAAGAATTTACAAGAAAAAATTTGGCTAAAGACTACATTTCTGATTTAAACTCAATGTTAGCATGAAGATTCCTGGCAGCCAAGTGAAACACAACAGGGTGTTTTAAATCTCACTAATAAAAGCAAGCATGCTGGATCATCATCAGAAGAGGCAAACTTCTGGCTCTAAGCAGAGTTTGTCCCATGAGTCGTTAAAAATACAGGAACACAGAAAATGCCACTATTTCATACGTAGCATTTCTTATATTGGTCTATAAGAAAAACTGAAGGCATAATGTCAGGTCACAGTTCCCAAAAGACTAAGCTGTGGTTTGGGAGGTGGGATGGTTGAAATGCCACTCCCAATTTAAATACTCATCAGTCAGAGCTCAACTCAAACCATCACCTCCACTATAAATCCTTTCTGGACACCATTCTGGGCACCTCCCCTCAGGATGTGACAGGCTCCTCTCTGAGAGCTCCCAAATCATTCTGCCTAGACTTTATAGTTACTACCTTGAAATAAAATATATTGCCTGCGTCCTTCACTAAGACTGGCAGTTAACTGTGAGGAAGACAGTCTACAGTAGTCCCTCCTTACCAGCAGGGGATATATTCTAAGATGCCCGGAACTGCAGACTGTACCTAACCTTATGTATAGTACTAGACTTTTTCAATCTGGTAACAGATACCTATTAAGTGACTAACAGGTGGATAGCGTATACAGCATGGATATGCTGGATAAAGGGATGATTCACATCCCAGGCAAGATGGAGCGAGATTTAAGCACACTACACAGAATGATGAGCAATTTAAAACTTATAAATTGTTTATTTCTGTAATTTTCCGTTTAAAATTTTCAGATCGTGGCTGACCACAGGTAACTGAAACCTAGGAAAGCAAAACTTTGGATAAGGGGGGACTACTGTACTTGTTTTCCTTCCCTACAGTGTGGCATACTGTTGGCACTCTATGGATAATGGTTAAATGACAGAATTAATAAAAGCAGAAGTGGCTGATAACATTGATGTCTCTCACCAATAGAGGCTACTCTCCCCACTCATCTGGGGCTTGATCTGTCAGAACAGAATGTGGCCTCACCACTGCAGGGCGGGCACACAACAGCACAGCAGAAGCTGTGGCCTGGTCCTGCAACCCAAGAGGTTGTAGCTCTCCAACCACAAAGGCCCTAATTTGAGGACACCCTAATGCAGGGGTCCTCAAACTTTTTAAACAGGGGGCCAGTTCACTATCCCTCAGACGGCTGGAGGGCCAGACTATAGTTTTAAAAATACTATGAATAAATTCCTATGCACACTGTACATATCTTATTTTGAAGTAAAAAAACAAATGGGCAAAAACACCCGCATGTGGCTCATGGGCCGTAGTTTGGGGACACCTGCCCTAATGGCCTCTCTGGCAAGGCCCTGTTGAGTACAAGGATCTATCAATAGTACACCATGGGAATCTTGAGGGTCCAGGTTTTTCTAGCTGAGTACAAGCCCAGTTACTTTCTGCTAGAGCAGAACCAAGCATTAATTTCCAGTGCACCACAGCTTAAACTCCAGCTAACACATTTGTCCTTCAGCAATGCTCCTCAACACTCCCAGGAAGGGGCAAAACAAAACAGAAAGCTCCTTGCAGAAAAGAAAAACCCTGGAAGCACGATGCCATGAAGACATTCTCTTCCGCACTCCTGAGGACAAAGGTGGGACAGAGGGGAGGGAGACTGAAGATTCCATTTTTGGTGTTACTTCAAACTTTCTCTGTGACTCCACAAGTCATCCTCCTCAGCATCACAGGAAGCCCCATCACATCCCTCCCCAGGTGCTCTCAGTCCTATCCAGGTCAGTCTTCACGCTCTATACCTGCATGTGTCTTTCCCTATCAGCCATCCTACTCTCTGAAAGCTGTTCCACGTGAGCAGCTACATCCTGGACTACTCGGAGTTCCCCTGCTGCCCATCTCAGAACATTCTGCCGATAGAGCCCATGCCCCCCTGTACTCATCCGGGGCTCACTGTGCTGGGAAGGCGTGGGAGGCCAGCCTGGGATGGCAATTTCAGTAATATCCCATATTTTAAAAATGTATGTCCTTGGGCAGCCTCATGTCAACCTCTTCCCTTCCTCTTTTCAGTTACCTCGATTATTTCAGCACCTACTATGCCAAATCCCTCTTCCCCCAACCCTCTACCCTCCTCCTCTCCTCTAACTCTGGTCTTCACCCACATCCATTGACTAGAACATTCCCAGTCTGTTACACCAAAGCTCTGAATTGAGAGCTTCCCTACTGATTTCTGACCACTGGGGTCGGTAGTTCCAGCAATACATGGAAAACTCCCTGGTGGATGTGTTCATCTGCTCTGATGCTTTCTTTGAAAACCCAGCGCCGAGTAACTCCCAGACCCCCAACCACTTGTAGACACCAGTGATAAGCCTTGCTTTGAGGCCTGTGAACTGCCTAACTATAGGTGCCAGTTGACTCCTCCTCTACCTTGTAAGGTCTGGGAGAGCAAGGACCATACCTTACTTGTTCACTACTGCATTTTGGGCAACTCCATATGGCCATATGGCTAAAGTCCAGCCCAGAGCTACACTTTCCAAGTTGTATACCCTGGCACCAGCTGCATCCACCTAGAGACAGAAAGACCTTTTTCTAAATCAGAAAAAGCCAAGCCACATGCCTATGAGGGATGCCACTACCCAGAGTAGAAATAAGTTCCTTCTGATTGTACAAAGGTGTAGGGGACTGACATATATTTTCCTAGTTTAAGAATTAAAGTTAGTGAGTAATGTACGTGTTCTGCCCAGAGCATTTGAAAGTAATCTGTTCCGGACAGGCTCCCTGTGATAAACAAAGGTGTTGCCTAGAGGCATAACAAAGGATCTGAGCGCAGCCCCATGGCATTAGGGATCTGGAGGCCACACGATAAACATATTGTTCCTGTGATTGCTGCGTACACCCCATAAGATGGCTGGTTAGTCAATGACAGGTAAGACCCCTCAAGGGAGGGGCTACCTAAGCCAGGCACAGGCGCCGGGGTTCAGCCGAAGATCTTAGGGGGTCACCCTAAAAGAAGTTAGGGATGAGAAATGCCCCCTGTGGCTCACCTTGCCCATCCTTGCTAATCTCAGTCCTTTAAATATGCTTAGTGCCTAGAGCAAATACCTTGAGATTCTGAGTCAGGGGATGTCTGCTTCCCTAAGGCTATTCCAGAATTTATGGCCATTGCTGCAATGCCTGGGTGGTTACATATAAGGAACTAACTTTAATCTTTTGGAGTATAAAAATAAAACGGACCTGGTGTATTACTACTCGAGTCAACTGTTTGTATGTGTGTCTGCGTTTTTCTTTGTATTCTGCACATTTGTGTTTTATGTTCTGTGTTTATCCTCCGTCCTGCAAACGGGCCACGACACAAAGGTGCCACCTTTTGGGTGGGTGATGGCACTGGCCATATTCCTCTGCCAACCACAGCGCCCAGCATGAGATGATCAAATGTTACTTGAAAGAACTAACTGTGTTTACTACAAATTCACATTTTTTTTTTTTTTTTGAGACAGAGTCTCGCTTTGTTGTCCAGGCTAGAGTGAGTGCCGTGGCGTCAGCCTAGCTCACAGCAACCTCAAACTCCTGGGCTTGAGTGATCCTTCTGCCTCAGCCTCCCGAGTAGCTGGGACTACAGGCATGCACCACCATGCCCGGCTAATTTTTTATATATATATCAGTTGGCCAATTAATTTCTTTCTATTTATAGTAGAGACGGGGTCTCGCTCTTGCTCAGGCTGGTTTTGAACTCCTGACCTTGAGCAATCCGCCCGCCTCGGCCTCCCAAGAGCTAGGATTACAGGCGTGAGCCACAGCGCCCGGCCAAATTCACATTTTCTATCCTCAGCTAGGCCTTCACTGTATATCCATGGCCTTTTGTTTTAGGTTGGGTACCTGTCTCTCTCCACAAAGTGGTTTGAAGCTCCACCTCCCCTCAGGTTCCCAGTTCCACTCTTGCAGCCTTTAGTTCAGTAGACATCCTTAAACAAGATGCCAAGAAAGAGAAGAAAGCTCCTCCTCTCCAATCTCCATTCCTTCCAGCCTGAAAAGGATCAAAAAGTGACCTATTTCTCTGCCAGTCATGCACCCATCCCTGGCTCAATTCATTACCTCCATCTTTACCTCTATATTCAATCTCTCCCTCATGGAGTCCATCTCTGGTCCCCAAATCTCAAGTCCCTCCAACATCAGAAGAGCCTTCCCCCCATCCTGGTTCCCACTTTGATGGAAACAATCATTCTCTATGCTTTCTACATTCTAAGTGGTAGGAAGAAAATAAAAGAACAGATGAGGCCAGGCGCAGTGGCTCACGCCTGTAATCTGAGCACTCTGGGAGGCCGAGGCGGGCAGATTGCTCAAAGTCAGGAGTTCGAAACCAGCCTGAGCAAGAGTGAGACCCCCGTCTCTATGAAAAATAGAAAGAAATTAATTGGCCAACTAAAAATACACAGAAAAAATTGGTGGCACATGCCTGTAGTCCCAGCTACTTGGGTAGGTCAGGACTCGGCTGAGGCAGGAGGATCGCTTGAGCCCAGGAGTTTGAGGTTGCTGTGAGCTAGGCTGACCCGACGGCACTGTAGCCGGGGCTACAGAGTGAGACTCCGTCTCAAAAAAAAAACAACAGATGAAGAGTGACCAGAGTGGAGACAGGAGCTATTTTGTAAAAGGAGGTCAAGGAATCCTTTCTGAGGATGTGACATTTGAGCAGAGGCCTTTACAAGAAAAAGGAATGAGATGTACCAGGATCTAGGAGAAGGTACTGCAGACAAGCAGTATGTGTTCTTCTATTCAGTTATTAATCAAGTGCATATTACATCCCAGGAAATGCGCTAGGTGTTGGATAGCATGTCTTTTCTCATGGCCTTCTTTTTGTTCTGTGCAGCAAGTGCAAAGGCTCTGAAGCAGGAATGAGCTTGGTGAATTGTGCTATGGTTTTCAAGATGCTGTCCCCTCCAAAATTCATGTTGAAACTTAATCCCCAATGCAACAGTAAGTATGGCCTTTGGGAGGCTAGATTAGGTCATGAGGATTCTGCCCTCACAAATGGGATCAGCACCCTTATAAAAGGGCTTCAGGTTGAAGGGAAGGGCTCTCTTGCCCTTCCATCCCTTCGGCCATGTGAGGACACAGCGTTCTTCACCTCCAGAGGATGCAGCAACGGGCACCACCTTGGAAGCAGAGCAGCCCTCGCCAGACACTAACCCTGCCAGCACCTTGACTTTGGACTTGCAGCCTCCACAACTCTGAGAAAGTAAATTTCTGTTCTTTATACGTTACCCAGTGTGGTATTTTTGTTATAGCAGCACAGACTAATTCAAACTGAAAGAACAAAAAGGCCAAGGCAACTAAAGCAGAGAGAGAGAACAAGGATTTTGTTTAATGCCTATCTTCCCTGCAATACATACACCCCATGAGAAAAGACATGCTATTTAACACCTAGCACATTTCCTGGAATGTAATATGCACTTGATTAATACCTGAATAGAAGAACACATACATGCACACTCAACAACCTACAGCCTCCAGAAGAAAATCCAAATCCTCAGCACAGCATTCAAGGCTCTTCGTTCAGCCCAATCTTTCCTCTGACCATTCCTCCCAAGTTCTAGGTCCAGTCATAGTGGAACACTAAAAGTTCCCTCACTATTTCCTGTACTTTCCTCTGACCATTCCTCCCAAGTTCTAGGTCTGGTCATAGTGGAACACTAAAAGTTCCCTCACCATTTCCTGTACTTTCCTGCTCCCACCCTTTTGACTCAAGCTGGACCTGCTGCTTGGGATTTCTTGTCACCTCCTGTCAAAAATCTTACTCCTGCTTCTAGGTCCAAGATTCAGGAGTCCTCCGATTTGATGCCCCCAGGGGGAACTACTTCCTCCATGCTTCCCAGCACTTTGCTCATACTTTTACTGAAGGGCTCCATCCCATTTTATACTCAGTACTTATCCCCCTAGCCCACACATTCCTCAGGTTACTGGACACAGTGATGATCTCTTCCTGGGAGAGCGAAAGAAGCAAGGCAATAGGTTCAGCAGGTATTAAATGCTCAAGGGCACTACCTCTTGCCATCATTTACCTGCACTGAGTGATTCAGACTCTTGAGCCACATCCTACAACTGTGCCTCTAAAGTTTTGCATTTCTCAAACTCAAGGGTCCCAATACCATATACAGAAGTTTGACTCTTAGAAATGACTTTGCTTCTCTTTTTCCAAAGCACAGTGGAAAACTTCTTGTCATGAAAGCTGTAAAATGGCCCCATCAGAAGCCTAAGAGGCAGCCCTCTAAGAATAAATGTAATGAGAAGATGTAAAATGTGGGAGGTGGTTTATATGGAGCCCAAGTGAAGCAAGAAACCTCAGGCCCTGTCCATGGTTTAATTTGTTTCCCCAGAGCTACACAGCTTTGCCTACACAGGAGCATCCTCGCACACTGTCACCAGAGACAACCAGAGGGACAGTGTCCACATGGGTGGAAAGCAAGGAGACATCTTGTGTCCCTGGCTAACCCTAGGGCATGGTGAACTCTGACCATAGGTACTACTGTTCTGGGACTTTCCTAAGAAATACCAGACTCTGAATGGTGCCAAGTGCAGAGAAGATGCATAAGAGAGCATTTATGAGAATACAGGCACAACCGCTCTTACAACTCTCACACTCTGAACTTTGTCTCTCAAACACATAACCTCCACTGCTACGTGTGGATCTGAACACCAACTTCCCCCCTCATTTCTAGCTAGGGAAAGCAAATTTATAGACATTTGTTAACTTTCCCCTTATTTCACAGATTCATGTTTTGAAGCATCTTTCCGTTGTGAATATTTCTATATACCCAAACTACCAGATTCTCCTCACAGATGCATGCACCTGAAATACATTTTCACGAAAGCACCATTTATGGAAATCAGATCACAGTAAAAAAGAAAACAAACCTAATCCATATGTTTAAAGGAGAAAATGACCTCTGGAGTTGGTACCTGCAGGAAGTACCCTAACTGGATGTGCTCCAAGCTTCAGAATGGGAGGCACAGCATAGACTGTGAAGTAGCAGCCTGACCGACCTGACTTAGATTTATTCTCCTGCCACAGACCTTGGGTAAGTCACACTGTTAAGCCTTAGCTTTCATATTTGTACAGTGGTCTAACATAGGGTTACGACAAGGATTGGGAGAGAACAAACATAAAGCCTGTACAACAGAGTACCTGACACCTAGCAGAGGATCGGTAGATGGTAGCTAATATGGTATTAGTACTATTTATACCATGTCTAACAGGGAGCCTTACCAATGTGAGGCTCCTCAGTGCTGAGAGGGAGCTACGCTGGCCCCAGTAGCTACAGCAGCCTCAATTTCAAATGCATGCCATCACTCCCATCAGAACACTCAGGTTTACCAACCTACACATCCTTTCAATAGTGCAGAAAATATGGTCACTATACTTATACATGGCTTATGGGCTGACCATAAAAAAATTAAAAATGACTAAGCTCAGTAGACCCAGAATATTACCACAGACCAGCAAAAATCATGTCTACAGGGAGGAAACTCAATAGACCATCAGGTTCTGAAAGGCCAGGCCTCAGTTTAAGTTCCTTTTATACAATATTGTATTACTCACTTACCACTGACCTCTCTGCTATATATGGCTCAGCAGGGAGAGAGAGAGAGATGACTTTAATTTGCATGAGAGCTTCAAGCACCACCTCCTGTTTTGATGTCCAGCATATCCAGGTATCTAAACACCAGCCCCCACCTTCTAACTGTGACTTCAGAATGTTCCAAGAATGCAGGTTACTTTAGGTGATGCTAGAGTCTCACGTCACTTAAAACTTAATGTACATGAAATCAAGAACTGGGTAAGGCACTGTGCCTAGTGCTAAACAGCCTACAGAAATGAGGAAACGGGTACCTGCCAACAAAGAGCTTATACTCTAGTTGGGGAAGTAAGACCTACACAAGTCTCTCGCAGCACAAGGAGTAGGTGCCAGGAGGCATCTCTGACAGTCAGGCTCATTGAAGGGAAGTGTGGAGAGGCTAGATGGCCAGGAAGGTTCTACAGTGGGGAATTAGTCTGGGCAGGATTCAGATATTTGGAGAAGAAAGGACGCTCCCAAAAGGAGAAGAGCATCTGCAAAGAGCAGGGAGGCAGCTAAAGGAAAGGGGTCAGTGCAGAGGTGCTACCTGGACTGGGCTTACACAGAGCAAGGGGAAGGCCGGTGGAACTGGATCCTATGTACCAGCATCTCCTGAGGACTTTCCAAAGACACCAATGCCTGGGCTCCACCCCCTGAGATTCCAGTCCACTGGTCTGTGTGACAGCGAGAGAAAACATGTAGAACACAAAGTAGGAGAGAAAAAGTCATATCTATTTAATCACTTCTCTAGCACAAGAAACAACATAGCAGTTTGACAGGTTGGATGAGAGGAGAGGAGAGGAGACTCCAGTCCCTGGCAGTCCCTGGGGTGACTAGAGGGAGGGAGAGGGAGAGGGAGAGGGAGGGAGAGAGAGGGGGAGAGAGAGGGGGGGAGAGAGAGGGGGAGAGGGAGAGGGAGGGAGAGAGAGGGGGAGAGAGAGGGGGGGAGAGAGAGAGGGGGGGAGAGAGAGAGAGAGAGAGAGAGAGAGAGAGAGAGAGAGAGAGAGAGAGATATGTGCTCAGAGATCACCCAGAAGCTCTGTAAGGAGGACAGAACCTAGAAGCCTGCACTCCTCAAAGGACAGCCTTGGGGGCTCTAGGTAGGGAGAAGGAATGCGGGCACAGACAGCAATCTCAACCACAGCTTTGTTCTTAAACAGCACCCCCACCCCCCAAAAAAGGCATGAAATAGCACTCTCATCTTACACTAATTTTGCAAGTTTGAATTGCTTGACTAGGACTACCAGTCATGAAAAGTCCTTGCTTTTCACCATCATTTTTTTTAATTTGGGGGTAAGGAGATGCAGGAAGTTACCTTTGCCTTTGGAACCAAGGATCTGAGCCTCTAAGCCCACTAACTTGCCCCCTCCACAAGGTCCTCCCTCCCCATGGCCTCTGCTGGGGAGTTCAAAACCCGCACCTTCTCCCAAATTCACTCACTTTTCATACATCATATACAAGAAGGAATAAAGGGGCAAGAACTGCCACTATCCTTCTTAGAGAATAATTCACTTATTTTGTGATCACTGAAAATCAACAGAATGGGCTGGGCTAGAGACCAGCTCATACTACATCCCACCAAGTGGACAATTCATCCTTTTCCCATTTGCCGTAGCTATGGGATACTGCTTTGCTTTCTCCCACTGAGAAAACCATTCCCTCCCTCCTCTCTCTCCTAGGTTCACCAGTCTAGACTCGCCGAAATGATTTCAGATGATTTGGCCACTGGCCAGCAAGTCAAAAGATCAAGACTGACTCACAAGCCCTGAGAATAACTTAATGCCCTCCTATTACACAAACAGTGGGAAAGACTGCCCATGTGTTGTCCTAAAGCAAACTTCAAAGGCCCCCGTGGGCAGAAGAGAGGGATATATCTTCAGGTTTTAGTTCACATTAGGGGAGGGAAAAGGAATGAAGGATGGCCTTGCTAACAAAATAACAGAAAAAATTATCTAACCCACAGTTTTCTCAGTAAAGGCTAAGATCAATTATATAAGCTCTCTTGCTAACAAGTACCCCCCCACACACACACACACCCAGAAGTTCTGTTTTCACAACTTCTGAACAGAGCTGAGCAGAAAAGAAATGTAAATCTTTCTCTTTTACACTGCCAAACCTAAAACTGCTTTTGAGGGTTTGCTTTCTACAGCCTTGAAGAGTTCCTGAGCTAACAGCCAGCACTCTCTCCCTCTTCGACTTCTGTGTTCTTTTTCCACCTGGAAAAAGTAAAATAAACTTTTCCTTCTTTCTATCCTAATATTTGTTCGGAGAAATCTTTCTCAAAACCTGCATTCACTAGCTCACACCCTAACAGGAAGAAGCAGAGGAAGGAAATTCCTGGAGCCATGTTTCCTAGAGTACATCCTGTAGAGACCTGTCTAGTGAATACTCCTGAGGAGGGGGGAGGGTAAGCACTGGGAAAGGCATTGTGCTAGGGATAAAAAAGGTGACATGGATGGTCACGCTGGAAACTCAGACTTGTGGGAGGAGGGGGGAAAAGGGCATTTTTTGAAACCTTAAAATTTGTACCCCCATATTATGCCGAAATAAAAAAAAAAAAGGTGACATTATCAAAATAGTTTAGGAAATAGGAAATACTACTTACCCACCCTCAACAACTAGCAGGGGTCCTCAAACTTTTTAAACAG